TTAACATTCTGAAGTTTAAATGTTTAATGTGTATTTTTTAATTGAATATTTCCTTTTTTATTTCTACAGTTTAAAAGCAATTTTGGCAGGAAAACCTAATGAAGGCACTTTAGATTTGTCGGGAATCCCCTTCACCATGAAGGATATGGAACGAGTGATACTTTATCTGCAGCACAACTCAGAAGACATAGAGAATGTGGAACTCTGCTTTTCTGAATTGACGGATGAAATGTTTGTACATCTCATGCCTGTCCTCAGTGCCCTTCCTCACCTCACCACTCTGGCCCTCAATGGAAACCGTTTGACAAAAGCCATCCTGAGGGAAATTACAGAAGCTTTGAAAGACTCCAAAAAGTTTCCCTGCATGACTTGGATTGACCTTGGCAATAATGTGGACATCTTCTCACTGCCGCAGCCTTTTTTAGTTAGCCTCAAAAAGCGTTGTCCGAAACAGGGCAGTCTGCCAACCATTTTAGAATTTGGAGAAGGACAATTAAGTGACCTAGAAAATCAAGATACTTCAACAGAAAACAAAGATGAGCAAGTTATTAGCAGTTCTGATGATAATATTATTCAGCCAGAAAGCTAACTTAGATGCTTCCTAATGTAAAATGACTCAGTAACCTAAAATCCTGTTGAATACTTAGGAGATGGGTTGTGAGGTAATGTCCTTTTTAAACTCCAAGTTGACTGGTGCCAATCTTCTAAAATAACTATTTTGACATCTCCACCAAAACTCCTGCACCAAAATCCAATGAAGACATCGGCACCTTCCTTATCTCCTTCTACCAATGCAATGTTGTCTATAGCTTCTACCTATCTTAAAACAGTTTTATAGTTACCAAAAATATATTTGCAATAGTTTGTTGAATTATGTTATGATTTCAGTAAATTAATACATTCATATATATGAATCTCTTGACATCTAAATAAGTTGATCATAAATCATTAGGGGTGTACTTGACTGGTAATTTAGCCTTAGGCTGGGTTCACACCTGTGCGTACGGAATATGCGCGTTTCCAGCGCGATTTGCGGTAAAAGAAGTGTGCAACAAACGCAGGTTTCTGAGGGCTATCCGACTGTATCCTAATGCATACGCGCGGCAAATACGCCCCAAAGAAGCTCCTGTACTTCTTTGGGCGTAGGGCGTTTTTCAGCGCGTTCCTACGCGCTGTAAAATGCCCAGGTGGGAACCATGCCCATAGGAAATTATTGGTTTCCACATGTTGAGCGTTTTACAGCGCGTAGGAACGCGCTGTAAAACGCCCAGGTGTGAACCAGGCCTAAGGGTGAATGCAAAATGTCACATAAAATAGTATGATTACCAAATTGAATCTAAAGTATCACTTGCACTTAGACTTAAAGAGGAACTCCACAAAATGAAGACATGTGGATACATATTGGTAATGGTAACTTATTAATTACACTCACCTCCTTGTCCTCAGTTCACAGATCTTAAGTCCCGGAGCACCAGGTCTCTGTGCAAGCCCTGTGATTGCAATGTAAATTTGAAATACAGTAAAGGAAGGTATTGGTATAACAAGTGTTAAACATACAGCCCTACATAACTCAAAACATAAGGTACCTCTCATTGATTTCTAGGGCACCCCAAACTTATATTTCAGTTATGGTGGAATGCAGGTGGGCTGGATCATGCATCAGCGCTCTCCAACAATACTCTCTCCTGCACTAGAAGGGGTCTCAGTGATTCTGAAGCAATTCTAGATCTAGAGAGGATTAGATATCCTTGTAATGGCTACAATAGGCAGAGGACCTGAGAGTTCACGTTTAGAGCTTTCTAGTGAGTGATCCAACTTGCCCATATCTACCTAAATGTGAATAAACCGATTGCTTAATAAGCTATTTATGGGACATAGTGAGGCAAAAAACCTTCTGGAGGAAAAGGACACCTCCATTTAAACCTTTCATGTGGAATATGTACAGCAAAATGAAGGTAGATAAGTGCTTTTTGTACCTCCATCTCCCCATAGTCCTTTAGCTGCATGGCACTTTGGTAGATAAAAGTATAGATCAATAAACAAAACGTTGCTCAGATTAGGATCGCCTTTTGATGGAACAAAGGTGAGCACTGTTTATATAATATACTTTTCCCCACTCATCTCTAATTGCTGTTGCTAAATAATGTGAACTTAGGCTCAAATGGTAACATAAGTCCAGGCTAACAGTCTTCCTGGAGTCGAATAAATAAAGAGTAGTACAAGGGTTAAAATACTAATTTTCCTGAAAAAACACCCTTCCTGCTCCTGGATCTCTGCAGCTGACTACATGTCTAAAGGTGTAGGAACTTGGTCACATAATCTCCATGAATAAGAGGACCTTCAGGAGAGCTCAGGTGACCAAATGCTTAGTCTTTTTACCAGGAATGGATCAACCGTTTTTTCCTAGGTAAATATGAACTTCAGCCCTTCTATTACTCATTCATTCCAGCAAGACTGGTATGTTAGCTTTAAAGGCTAAGTTCACCTTTTGGAAAAATTAAAGAAATGCATATTTAATAATATTAGAAAAATGGACTGAGGTACAGGGTTCCAGTTTAAATTTCGCTCACCTGACCGCGCTGACCAATAAGAACCACTTCCTGCTAAAGGTGCCCATACAACGGTCAAATTTCGGCTGGTTTTGAATGTACGAGCCGAAATTCACACAGTGTGTGGGGCTGTCAGCTCCTTTTCATCCGGCATTCCTCAATCTGCTGATCGAAGGAGCCTGCTGGAAAATCTCCGTTCGATCGGAGCCGGCAGCCAATGAGCTGCCCGCTCTGATCGGGTATTAGAATACAATGCAAACAGCTGCGATTCCTCAATCGACACGCTGTTTGTGTTGATGGAGGAATCGCGTCAATTTCTTTCGTTCAACCCACGGGTTGAGCGAAAGAAATTGACAGGTGTATGGCCAGCTTAAGAAAGAGAAGAAAAAAAGCGCGTCTCGTTGTTCAGCTTGGTCAGGTACAGAGCTTCAGTTTGGGAAGAAACTGCAGAAGCCTGAGCTTTGCAGTCGTGATCCAGTGATCACATTTGCAATGCTTTCCAGGCTTAAATGCAAACATTTTTAAAATGCTTTTTTTTAAATATATTAAAAAGCATTTCTTGAATTTTTGCAAAAGTTGAACTTAGCTTTTTAAGTTAGTAAGAGTTCTTACCTTGTATAAAAATACTTTTCTGCGCCATCATTTGCTCTCTGTTTTGTAATATGCAAATCAATGTTCACATTTATATGGAAATAAATATTTGATAGCGTTAATTAGTTGACAGCACTCAGCTTTAAATGTAACAAGTTACACTGCCAGCTGTATTCCTCCTGAGAGCGTTACAGCATTGCCCTTCATTCCTCTTCCACAGATTAAAATGTTAGAAAACTTTGCAGCAAACATACGCAAATAAATACTTATTTTTGACTGTTTATATAAAGACACGCAGTTCTGAAAGTATACGTAAACCCAATTTTTAAATATATTATCTTTAACATGTTAATGATATATTTAAAAGACATTTTCAATATTTTTTAATTTGCAGCCTTTTCATTAAAAGAATTCCTGGCGATCCTGCCATAAAGGTCTATTTCAACCACTTCTTGTCACAGGTTGACAACTGTCTCCCAAATGTTTTCCTGCATTGTCACCCTGTCACACACTCTTCCAATGACTGACCCATTGCCCAGGAAGGAAAGTTAGAAATGACATGCAGCAGTTGTTGGAGTATAAACAGGTAGAGGTTGCAGGAGATCAGCATTGCTGAGATGCAACAAAAGATTAAAAAAGGACAATTGCAAAGGGCAAACTAAATGTCATTTAAGTGGAGTTTACATCTACTTTAAGAACATAAAAGGACCAAACAAAAACATCTATTTTTACATGGGAATGTACAATAAATATGTATTTCAATTTTATAGAACTGCCAGTCACTTATAAAACCTATTAACGTTTAACTCTTGGAGCTGTGGGAATTAATAATATATTAATGCACGTTTTGCAACAGATGACCTGTAGTGGCTCTAGAAAACATGTTACATCAGGGGTGGCCAACTCCAGCCCACCAGCTGTGCTTTACTACAAATCCCAACATGCCTTTGCTTCTGGGAGTCATGCCATGCTTGCAATGCCTCATGGGACTTGTAGTTCCACATCAGCTAGAGGGCTGGAGTTGCCCACCCCTGTGTTACTTTCTAGAATTTTCTGCTGTTTTGTGGTTTTAGAATTATGAGCACTCTAAAGTCAAAGCTCTCTAGAAGCTGAAGACGGTGTGGTGCCAATCAATAACAGTAATGTCGGTACTGATGAGCACAATGGGGGGGGACACTTAATGGCCTTAATAGATGTTTCATAAAAATAGGGGAAGCCATTTCACTTCATCGTTTCCATCTCTCACTCAAATGGCACATTACAAGTCTTCTGGACCCCAGCACGGAATTCTCCTATTAGGATCTTAACTCCTAACTGCCCTTTAATAATGTGGCCTTGACTTTCCCTACTCAGGGATAATAACCCTTGTCATCCTTCCATTGCTGTATTCTTATTTATATGAGGATCCACCATGGGTCCAAAATCATGGCAGACATCCCCTTGAAAGAGTTGTCCTTACATCAGGAAAGTATGAGGGCTTGTGCAAATGGGCTTGGTTTACCTGCTCTTGATTTGCATTTGATACACACAATAATCCCAGATCTGTTTTTTTCTAATAGTACACTGAGCCGTACATGAGAAGCTTAGTGTACAATCCCAGCATCTGCCAGGTGCAGGGACAAAGTAACTCCGGGTCGCATACGTGGGAGTTACCTTATCCTAGGCATCAGGGGGGTTTTGCTGGGGCTGCATGTTAGCCAGGTGGTGGGTCTATGGGGGGTGTTGGATGCAGAGCGTATAGCCTCTGCATCATCTGGCAACCAGTGATGTCACAACCAGTGACGTCACTGGTTGTCAGGAGCTGGGCGAGACACCAGCAAGAGTGTCCGGGCAGCTCTTGGCAACCACCAATGATGTCACTGGTTGCCCGAAGCTGAGCGGCATGCCGACCAGAGCATTCCAGCTTGCTAAGAGCTGGGAGGGGAGATATGTATAGCCCTTACACATCTTCCCGCCCTGCACTTAGCCACTCTTTGTTTGCCTGAAGAAGGGACCATGCAGTTCCGAAACGTCGCTATTATGATGTGGCACTGCAGAGGTCAATAAATATTGACTTAAAATTAAGTTGGAGTGCGAGTTACTTTACTTTTTATGAATGGCCCTTACACATCTTCCCGCCCGGCACTTAGCAACCTGCGATGCCCTGGCCGGAAACGGGGAGGCAGGCACACTGCAAACATTGTGCAGCAGAGCAGTCATGCAGTCAGCAATGCTGCTCTGCCTGCCGCCCCCACATGACCCAAATGTGCAAATGGGCTTGGTTTACCTGCTCTTGATTTGCATTTGATACACACAATAATCCCAGATCTGTTTTTTTCTAATAGTACACTGAGCCGTACATGAGAAGCTTAGTGTACAATCCCAGCATCTGCCAGGTGCAGGGACAAAGTAACTCCGGGTCGCATACGTGGGAGTTACCTTATCCTAGGCATCAGGGGGGTTTTGCTGG